TCAGCACCCTACACTCTCATGGGACACCCAGATAGAAGCTCCTGGCTTCAGGTCGGCTCAGTTCCAGCCATTGAAGCCACTTGGGGAGTAAACCAGCGAACAAAAGAGCTTTCTGTCTCTCTTCAATGAAAAGAATAAATAAATCCTTAAAAGGAAAGAAAGAAAGAAAGAAATAGATGGTGGTAATTGGCTTCCAGAAAGCCTGGATCCAGAGCTTCCACTTGTCTTGACTCCTCTTGCTGGTTCCAGTTTCAGGAACCTGTTGTGGAAAGGGCTTCTGGCATCTTCAGGCTTAGATCCAGCTGAAGAGCGAGCCTGCCTCTCAATCTTCTCAGCGTAGCCACAGATTGACTGTTGTTGGCTGCGGTTGGGTCATGTCTGTCTCTAAACCCCATCGTTGTGTCCCGTGTGGGGGATTGTTCCGTCTGATTGGCTGGCTCTTCAGCACATGGACCACTCTCGAGGCCAGATGCTTGCTTTCTGGCATGACAGCAAGAGGACATGTTGCTTTTCAGGATCTTGAAGCTAGAGTGTCAAGGTTTTGGGGTCAATAAGCAACAGAAACTCTTCAACCTCTGCTACACTGTGTGGCTAATCGTGTGCATTGTAGGTTTGGATGGTTGGAGTAGTCAGCCTTTCAGCAAAGGTGTTGGATTCTTTTCTTTTTCTTTTTAGGTCCAAGGCGGTTGTCTCTGCAGCCATTGCCTCTTCCTTATTATTCCTTTCTTCGGAGATTGTGCTTATGCATATATGTTGGGTCTTATCTCCATGTCTCATATGTGACCAGAGCTCTTCTATATATTTTCCATTTTTTTCACTCTTGCTTTAATTCAATATTTTCTACCAATACACTCTCTCTTTAATAAACCCATCTATGACTGTGTCTGTCTGTTAGAGCCGTATATTGAATTTGTAATTCATTTATGCATTTTGACCGGATTCTTTCACTTAGTTTCCAGATTTCCATCTTTATTTTCTTGAATATAATAGTTACAGTGACATGACGTGGGTAGAGAAAGGGACGATGAGAAAGTGTCGGAAACAAAATTCAAATCCAGGAAAGCAGGAGCAGGTACACCGGAAGATACTTCAACACATTAAAGAGATGGATGTTTAGGCAACAGTTAAGACACCAAGGAACATGCCCATGTCCCAGTTGCCAGGGTTTGATTCTTCCCTTTGGCTCCTCACTCAGCTTCCTGTTAATGGGGACTGTAAGAGGTAGTGGTAGCAAGTCCAGTGGCTAACTTCCTGCTGCTCACGTGAGAGCAGGGGAGACCAAGATTGTGTCCCTGGCTCCCAGCTCAAGTCGAGCCCAGTCCTGGCCATTGAGGGCATCTGGGAAGTGAATGAACGGATGGGATCTCTCTATATTTCTTCCCCTCCTCCCCACCTGCGCCCACGTGCACGTTTGTATGTTTGTGCACCTCTCAAATTAAGGAAAAATTACAAAGCTTGTAAAAAGTGGAATTAAAAGAAAAAAATTTTTTCAGTTGCAAAATGTTGAAATCTATGCAGTTTCTTCATAATATGCAGTTTTCAAGATCCTTCCAAAGGTGCCAGACATGGATTTCAAAAAAATTTTTTGTGCGCCAAAATTATCTTTTCATTCTACCTTCTGTGAACATCTGACATATCCTAATGTGATCTCTTTGTAAATCGGGTTTATTTCAGGAAAAGAGAGCATTAATAGATATCGTTTGTGTTCTTCCACTAACTTTTTATGATTTCATTCTCGAGTGTACAGAAGCTGATGCCATTGTAGAAAGTTAAATGGGCTTCCCCCCGGCCCTTGGGGATCTTAGCAACTGGCAGTAGGCTACTCGTGTGCTGGTGAGGGCGGGAGGCAGACAGGAAGATCTTCCCTCAGCAGATTCACTCCCCAAGTGGCTGCAATGGCCAGAGCTGGAGCTGAGCCAAAGCCAGGAGCTTCTTCCGGGTCTCCCACGCGGGTGCAGGTTCCCAAGGACTTGGGCCATCCTCAACTGCTTTCCCAGGCCTCAAGCAGGGAGCTGGATGGGAAGCGGGGCCATTAGGATTAGAATCGGTGCCTATATGGGATCCCGGCACGTGCAAGGAGAGGACTTAGAGCTGCTAGGCTATTGCACCGGGCCCAGATTATATATTATTTTAAGTACTTAAAAAGGAAAAGTCATAAGAATTATGAAAGAGTGTAAAAGAGGCACTTATATTTAGGCTGGATGCGAAGGCTTTTGGAAGCATTGGCCAGGGTCCGCCTGTATACTGAAAATGAATTTTCCAGGCAAGAAGGAAAAGAGCTTTGTGGAAGCACATACACAGACCCAGAACAACAAGAAAGTGGTCCGCATGATCCAACTGACAGAATGCCAGTGTGATTTTTCAGGACTAGAGAGGCTGCCTGAGGGGGTGGGGTCGGGGAGAGGGTAAAGAAAGTTAGCAGACTGTCCCGTATACCTTAAGCCATCTCTGCATCGTGTCTGTAATACAATGTCAGGGCTCTGCCAATAGTTGTTATCCTGTTGTTCTGGGGCTCTTGATGAGAAGCAAGGCCTGTATCCCCTCAGACAACCTAGGACTCACGCGTGGGACTGCACAGTGTCCCCAGTGGGCTGTCTGTATGTGCGGATCCCTGGAAGTTGGGGGCTGCCTGGGAGAAGGTCTGTATTTTGCCTTTGATGATTGTAGTTTTTCTTTTAGATTATGCTGTTAATCCTTTATTTTCTTTTTTTCCTTCCTGATGTGGGTTTGGATGGAAAAGCCAGTTCATTTGTTCTACAGAAAAAAAAAGTAAAACAACATCTTACCAGATTGCTCCCTGTCGTGCCATTTAACTTATTTCCCTGTCTCTGTAAGCTGGTAGGCACAGGTGGCAACTTAGCTTCATTCAGATTCAGTTGCCCTCCCCATTTCCCCCCGCCTTATTTTTAAGGATTTTTCTATTTATTTGAAAGAATATAGAGACCAATGATTCATTTCCCAGATGGCTGAGCCAGCCAACGCTGGGCCAGGCTGAAGCCAGGAATCGGGAACTTCATCTGGGTCTCCCATGTGGGTGCAGGTGCTCAAGCACTTGGGCTATTCTCTTTTGATTTCCCAGGCACATTGGCAGGGACTTGGATGGGAAGGGGAGCCCACCCAACCCATGAACTGGCGCCCAAGGGGGATACAGCAGGTAACTTACCCACTAAGATACAACACCAGCCCCCAGGTTCACTTTTTAAATGAAAAATAATTCGTAAGTGTTGTTGAAAATAGTTTTGTTTTGTTTTGTTTTGTTTTGTTTGTTTTACAAAGTTTCATTTATCTGGAAGACAAAGCAACAGGAGAGACCGAAATAAAGATAAATGACTCTCTGGGACCTTCTGGAACTGATAGAGTGTTGGGTCACTCCCCTAGATAGCCAGGTGTGGGCAGGTCAAAGTCGGGAACCAGGAACTCCATCTGGGTCTTCCGCATGGGTGGCAGGGCCTAGAGGGCCATCTTCTGCTGTTTTCCCAGGAGCATTAGCAGGCAGTAGGATTGGAAGTGGAGCAGCCAGGACCCGAAGCAGCACTCTGACACGGGCTGTTGGCATGGCAAGTGGCCTTCTGACAGCCACTTGGGGAGTGAGCCAGCAGATGGAAGATCTTTCTGTCTCTCCTTCTCTCTGTAAATCTGCCTTTCCAATAAAAATAAACAATAAATTTTAAAAAAGAATATATCCTACCTGCTGCTCCACAACACCAGCGCCATACTGTACTGGTTGAATAGCCAAAAAAAATTAAAATAATTAGGAACAGAGGAGGCTTGAGGCTGCTGCTTCCAGGGGCCAAGAGGACACACCAAGAGCAGCTCATAGGAACACTTGTTGGAAAAGTGAAACACTATCTTATGCCTCTGTGGGCAGAGCCTTCTCAGCCGTTTCTGGTTGCAGAGGAGGGCTGTGTTGGGATTTTCCATTTGCATGTCCACTACAGGCCTGCTGCCAGTGGAAGTGTTAGCTGGCAGACAGCTGTTTTGGAAACCAGTTCATGGCTCTGAATCCGCCAGACTATGGGCAGCGGAGTTGTGAAAGAAGAGGTTGTGAACCCTGAGCCTTGCAGGATGGTCGCTGGCCCTCTCAGAGCACAATCCCATGTTCCCTGGGCACAGGCTTGATTCCTTAAGCTTCAGGCCAAGAAAGACAGGCTGCTCGCGGCATTGGTGTGGCTTCAGGTCGTAGAAATGGCACATTTTGTGCCTTGGCAGAGTCTGTGGAGGTTCCTGCCCATGAGAGAACAAGCAGCCTGTCTTCTCAGGTCTGTCTGGTGAGGTTGGAATACCTAAAGGACCACAGGTGCAGGGAGGTTAGAAACGAATCCCAGGTTCCCAGGAGCTGTGGGAGTTGTGGCCAGGGAACACAGGTACTATGATGCATGCATGTACCTGTTGGAGGGGCTTCCTGAATGGAGGGTGTCCTGGGTTTCAGGAGAGCAGCTCGCCCTGGAAGAAAGTGGTTTAGACATCTGCCAGTGCCAGAGGAGATGGATGGTTGGTTTATGGTGGGAGTGGTCTGGGAAAGACCCTTGTGACTCCCCTTCCCTGTTCTTTGCATAGCAGCACCCGTGGGCACTGGCTGACTGTGGCCACAGGTGGGGTGTCAAGCACTGAAGGCTGTGAAGTGTCTGATGAGTTCGGTGATTCGCCCCAGCCAGAGCATGAACACAGAGGCCCTGGCACCTGCCAGAGTTTCCATATCCAGAGCAGGCAGAGGCCACACCCCACTGATGGGTTTTTCAGGAGGCAGAAGGGAGAGGAAGAGGATTTTGTCTCATCCTGTTCCAGGAGCTGTGTTTGCTCAACACGTTGGTTACTCAGACAGTAGGTGGATATTTCGAATCAAGAAATGGGCGGGGACTTATTTGCTGGGTGAGAAGAGGAGGAACCAGGTCTGCTTATCTGTTAGTGTGTGTGTCTGTGTGTGTGTCTTGAAATGAAAGAAAACCCCACAATACTACACCCAGAAGATGAATGATCTGCTAGTGGGGGGTAGAGAAGTCGTTTTTGGTTTGTGGCATCCTTTGTCCTTTGTGAGTTTGTCATTTTTGTGTAATTCCCACCAGCACTGGAAAGGAAAATTCCAATTCTGGATTCTTTGTATGATCATCTTGCGTTTCTTCTTAAATGTAATTTTTTTTTAGGTCCAAGGCAGTTGTCTGGAGGTAAGTTTACTTTCGTGTAAAATCCTTGAAAGGTGTGCGTACAAAGGGTCTTTTTAAAGTTTATGGAAATGCGCGTTATGAAAAAAAACATTGAGAGGCTTAAATGTTTGTTTCCAGCAAAATAAACTTGCCTTTTGAATTTGGTTTTTCTTCAAGCTTTTCCAAGCATCCTCTGATCTCATTAGGGGGTGTTTATTTTCTCTCTGTGACAGAATGAAAAATAGTGTCCTTTGTGTCTTCCAGACTTTGGGGAAGATGCCGGTGTGAAGTATCATAACGCATTGCATCCTAAAGCAGGAAGTGTGCAAACCTTTGTTAGTCCCAGTGAAATGCCACCTTGAACGTTTGCCACCCCATTTTCTTCTTTTTGCTTAGGAAAGGATGATTTGTGGCATGATCTAGCCCAAAGGGTAATGTAACAGTTTTATTGAGAGTTGAGTAGATAGAATTAGATCGGAGAACTGGAATAATCTGTGGTGTACAACTAAACCTTGTTACCCAGTTTGAGCACAGTCTGAGTAGTATGTACCCAGAAAAGGATTCTCCCACTATCCCAATGAGATTTTGTTTACTGATAATTTGTGCTTTAGTCATCATCACATTAGTTTTCCAGGAGGTATTTTCTCTCTCTCTCTCTCTCTCTTTTTTTTTAATGTTTATATTTGTTTGAAAGGCAGAGTTACAAAGGAGGGAAGGGGGAGAGAGAGAGAGACGGAAATCTTCCATCCACTATTTCACTGGCCAGGTGGCCGTGGTGGCTAGCACTGGGTCAGGCTGAAGCTGGAGGTTAGGAGCTTCATTGGGGTGTCCCATTGGGTCTCCCATGTGGGTCTCCCATGGGGGTCTCCCATGTGGATAGCAGGGGCTCAAACACTTTTTTCATCTCCTGCTCTTTTTTTTTTTTTCATACCATGAGCAGGGAGCTATATTGGAAGTGGAATAGTTGGGACCCAAGCCACTACCCATATGGATGCTGGAATCAGAGGTGACCGCTTAACCTGGCCACCTAGGAGAGGCTCATGAGTCCTATTGCTTCTCACTTCCTTCCTTAAGCTATTCTGAAAATTACTGTGGTTCTCCTCCCGGAATTAATGACGAGTCTAAAATAGGGTTCTTCTCTCTTAACATCATCCCATGGTGAATGCAAAGTGGAAGTTTTTGCCTGTGTCATTTGGGAAGACAACTTTTATAGCAAGATCTTTTAAGGGAAGTGCCTCTGTGGTAACATGGGAGGGTGGGGTGGGGTGGAATGCTAATCATCTTCCATCTACTGCTTCATACCCTAAAATGCCAGAAGCAGCCAGGCCAGGCCAGGCCAATCAGGAACTCAATCCAGGTTTCCTACCCACCCCAGCACTTGAGCCGTCGTCTGATGCTGCTGCCCAGGGTGTGTGTTAGCAGGAAGCTGAACTGGAAGCCAGGGAGCTAGGGCTAGAGCCAGGCACTCTGATTTGGATCAGGATCTCCCGGGTAATGAGCTCCTAGCTGTGCCAAATCCACCAAGAAAACGTAAAGGAGCATATTTTAAAACTTTTGTTGTTGTCAGTGTTTTGCCGATTGACTGGCAGAGGTCACCGTTTCCAACACGAGAAGACCAACGTATGATGGGTGATGTGCAGCTGACCCTAATTCCTTGTGCCCATGGCCGTGAATTCCTGCTGGGTGAAGGGCTCCCACAGGCTGTTGCGTGTTCTTCTTACTTGCATTGTTTGCCACGCTCCTGTGCATCCTGGATCCTGTGTGAGTACATCTCCCACTGTGACTTGCTTGTATTAACTCCCATGATGCAGGGAACATGTTAACTTTGATGGAGTCATGTGTGGGTCTGCCTTTTTGATTCAAGGTTGGTGCTTTTTTCTGCCTTGTTTAAGAAATCCTTGGCCATCTTAATGTTATGAAGATATTTCCTGTATTAAATTTCATTGATTTAGTGTTTAGCATTTAATACCTAGGTGCAGAGACCATCCAAAATTAATGTTTGTGTGCTATGATGGAAAGAGCTGAATTCAGGGAAAAAAAATATATTAATGTGGAAACAATGGTATTACCCACTTTCTTGTAGCCCTTGACCCCTCGTGCCCTAGTCAATTATGTAAAGATTACCAAAATAAAATAATGTTTTAAAAATAGCTGAATTAATTTCCTTGCATTTGGCCGTGATCCTGCCTTTTGAAGACTGTCCTTCCTGACTCTGTGACTCATTCTGCATTCTTACAGGTGTAGCTCTGCTCCTGTGTATTCCGATAACGTTCTGTACTGGTTGAGTTACTATGTATTAATGAATCTTAGTACATCATTTTCTTGTTCATCAATTGATAGATAAATCCCAATCCCCCTAAATAAGGTTTTGGAATTTTGATTGGGATTGCATTTGTTACATTATATTATTGACACTGATTATCCACTACTCCGACCCAAGCCTTCAGGCTCAGGTTGAATGGGTCTGCTGTTGGCGGGCACCCCTCTCTTGCTTCTGATTTCCAAGGGAAATTTCTCAGTACTTAACCATTGTATGATGCTTGCTGTAGTGTTTTTCTTCTGCTGGGTGATCGAATGGAGAAAAGTGACCTTCTTTCCTAAGGATTTCAAATCCTGAGTGCTCTCCTTCCCCCAGATGTGTTTTCTGCATTTGTTCCCATGACCGTCTGATTTTTCTGTTTCAGACTGTTATTTGAGAAATCCCTCCTCTCTATACGTTTTGGACCTACTGAGTATTTGAAACAATCGCTCGGGTCAGTATGATGACTACCAGATTCTGGTTGCTAGACTTTTCGGTAGGGTTTTTGTGTCTTTTTTTGTCTACATTCATGAGAAATGAGTTTCTGATTTTCCTCTCTCATGTCATCTTTGTTGTTAAAAATTGGACCTTGAAATATTTCATTTCATTCTGAAACTCTCCGAGGAGTTAAAAATATTAAGTTAGCATTGAGCGTTGAAATAGAATTATTTATTCATGTGTGTAGTCCAGGGAATGTTAAATATTTGGAAATTATCTTCCTTTAGAAAAATTCAAGTCATGTTCAGAATGCTTTCAGTTTTGCTAACAATGATGATTCCTTTATATAAACGGTCTGATGGAAAAAGTTTTCTCCAAACTATCTTTCTAAAACTGTTGGTGAAGCATGCTTTTTAAGATAACTGGATTGCAAGCTGATTCGATATTCCACTCCAATCTCTAAATTAAATGTCAGTGTGGAAAGAATTTTTCTCATTTTGGATAACCCGTGGCATTAATAGTTGAAGCAGTGAGTCATTCATATTAAGCAGTCTGTTTTCTAAAAATAGTTTTCACTCTGTAGCGTGCAAGACAAGTGTTTTAAGTTAAAGTAGAACTCTAAGTAAAATATGATGTAAATGATGTACAACATGAGGCCCTTTCAGAGAGTTGATGAAAAAATGGAATTAAAAGATAAGCTTGTTTTGTTGCATAAACGTTTTGACCTATTTCCCATGAAAGCCTTTTGCGTATCTTAAAGTCGGGAGCAGTAAGATTTGCAGGAGAATCAAGTGTAAGTCTTGGGGGAAATTTCAGGCACCCAACAGTTAACTCCAGTTAACTCCTATCTCTTCACTGCCCCCATGTGAAACTACTTTTCCAGGATTTCATTTTGCTTCTCCTCTCCGAAGGGTGTTCCAGTGTAGGTTAAGAGACTAGGCAGATGACTCATCTGTCTGTGCAGGTGTGGTCTGTTTACAGCACACCTGCCTGCAGGTGTCACTGCCCGCAGCTGGTTCAATTTTCATTTGCAGCTGGAAACTTCAGAATGTTTCCCTTTCATCTCTGCATTGACCTGAAAATCTCTAAAGCTTTTTGACTTGAGATTTTGCTTCAAGACAGATGACGCATTAATACGACTGTGATAGCTCTGGTGTTGGCACTCAAGAAATTATCCAGGAAGAGTGCAAAAGAGAATCTATTACTCTGTGTCTGCTTCCAGCAGAGGGAAACTTGCATACAGAACAGTCCCCATAATGCTGAGTTCTGACTGTGCCAATTCATTCAATCCACCCCAGCACCATGCTGTTGGTCAGGATTTGCTGTTGCTGCGCGCGGTGTCAATGAATGTTGACTCTACGTTGATGTCAAAGACAAGTCCATTGGATTTCCTGGGTCCTGATTGTCATTCATCCTCTCCCTCTGTAGAACAAAAGGGTTGCACCTTGCCAATAGGATTTTATTCAGTGAGAAGCGCTGGGTTCATGCAAGTGTCTTGAACACTTGCAGTGTTGTGGCACAAAGTGATCTTTGAGAGAAAAACTCCCAGGGAATTGTGCATTCGAGGTGGCTGTTTGTAGAATGGGAACTTGAAGGCAAAAGGAAGACTCATTTTTTTTTTTCACTTCTTCTGCCCCTGTGACTATCCCCACGACTGTTACCAAGGGAACAAATGCGTGCAGTCAAGTGTATTTCCACCGAGTTGCATTTTTTAGTAGCGTATTCAACAGGTTGATCCTACTAAACACACATCCCGTGTTCTTAGGCAGTGCCTATGAGGAAGATGGAAGTTTGGGTTTTGTCAACAGATATGGGTGGAGGCAGAGGTACTTCTTAGTTCTGCTGCAGCCTGGCTCTAGGTGCCTGCTCAGTCCAGTATGACACTGTCCCAGGAGACTTCAACAACTTCACGCGATTAAAACATTTATTTTCGATACTAAAAAAAATTCCAAACCCGTGCATTTTTGTTTTCATCATACACATTTTCTGAATTTTCCAAGCCTCCCTACGCGGTCAGGAGCACTCTCTCCAGCCCCCACCATGTCGTCAGGAGCCCTAAATGGTCTTGGTGGCGCTGAGATAAAGTTGAATAGTCGCAGGTATTTCCAGATGGGCCAGTGTTGAGGTCTTGTCCTCCAAGTGTGAGCTTTGTCGGGCATTGTGCTTTAGCGTGTTGGATGGATTCCAAACACTTGGGTCAGAGAGTCCCCTGGGCGGCTTGCAGTTGTGAAACACTGGGGCTGCTTTTGGGGGTGGTGGTTTTCCTTCTTCAACATGCACCCTG